ATTGACGATCGTGTTCAAGACATTATGGGAGGTTTTATCATGAGACGCAGTAAAATGAAACCGATGAGTTTGTTTATTGTGTAAATCGAGGACACACACGTGCAACATCATCGGTGAATCGAGGACAGGGACCAAATCGAGGACGACCTCGATTAGAAAACGTGTACAAAACCAAATAGAGCTGTTGCGAAAAAGTTAGTACAAACAAAGGAAAATGGAAGAGGAACAAAAGAAAATCCTCCATTTACACCACGAACAACCGTGGGTGTCTATGTGTGTGTTTTTAATCTTTTACTAAATTGAAGTATTTTACAGTGAGTAACCTAACCCACGAAGCATTTCATGTTCTCTTACTTTAGCTCCAGTTCGTCTCGTGAATGGAAGCTCTTCTAACGAGGGTCAAGTTGAGGTCTTCTACCAAGGCGAGTGGGGTACAGTCTGCGATGATGGATGGGACCTTAATAATGCTGATGTCGTCTGTCGCATGCTTGGTTACCCTTCTGCATCCAACGCTTGGAGCGGCGCTCACTTCGGTCAAGGATCAGGTCCGATCATGCTAGACAATGTTAACTGCCAAGGATATGAATCTAGCATAGCTGAATGCAATCATGCTGGCTGGTTTAGCCATAACTGTGGGCATAATGAGGACGCAGGAGTTACTTGTAACAGTGGTAAGTTTATTTCCAGAAAATATTAAATGAAGTTAAAAATCTGAACAATCAGTTGGCTATTTTCAGGGCGCCCTGTAACGGTGAGGCAGGAAAGTAAAATGACCATGTAAAAATCAAGGTTCTTGACTTTCCAACTAGCTTCTAGCGTGCCGCCGCTATGTTGCCAGATCATGTCTGATTATAGGTTTAATATGGATTTGCAAAGACAAATTATGACAAGTTTGAAGATGAGGTGTCGCTGCTATTTTCCGACTACTTTTTCAGCGAAAGTTTAAGAAGTTGGCTGCAATATAAAGCTTAATTATTGATAACTTCACTTCCAAAACCTCTCTACTACGGCTGCAGATGATGTAAGTGGCGATACTACAAAATAAATTACGAAGGTCAATGTGTTTTTGGACCTACTGAGTGTTACTTTAGACAAGATGAGCACAGGAGATTATTTTCTAAATGAATATTCAAAACAAAAAGAGTTTGTTAAAGATGGCATATGTCACATTTTTGCTTATGAAACATATATCGTACTGTCTTTTTAAACCACACTTTTAAATTCCAGACTCTACCACTGAACCACCCTACTCCGGCTGCAGTTCATATGAGTGGCAATGCTACTACAACGGTCAATGTATTCAAGACTACCAAAGATGCAACGGTTACACTGACTGCTACTATGGCGAAGATGAATCCAACTGTTACGGTAAATATCTACAACAAAACAGTTTTCTAAAGTTGAAACATTCTCCAAGTTTTTTAAATAATTCATCTCGCTGTCTTTTCGTTTTCAGACTATACCACTGAGCCATCCAACTCCGGCTGCAGTTCAAATGAGTGGGCATGCTACTACTACGGTCAATGTATTCAAGACTACCAAAGATGCAACGGATACTCGGACTGCTACTTTGGCGAAGATGAATACAACTGCACCGGTAAATGTGTACAACAAATCAGTTTCTGTGAAATTTCTTACTCAATATGTACAGATACCTTTGTTTTATACTACACTTTAATCCCAGACTACACTACCGAACCGTTCTGCTACGGCTGCAGTTCATACGAGTTGCGATGCTACTACAACGGCCAATGCATTCGAGGCTACCAAAGATGCAACGGATACTCAGACTGTTACCATGGGGAAGATGAATTAACTGTTGTGTTAACTACACATATCTGCAGATATTTTATTGTAATACAAAATAGACTTTACTTAAACAGTTACAACAACTAGACTCGTTGTGTATTTCAAACCATTTCTTCCATTCATCATGTTTTATAGGAAACACCGTTGCTCCCACTGTAGACGTCAATCCACCCTCCTCCGTGTTACGATTAGTGAATGGCAGCACCATCTATGAAGGCAGAGTAGAGGTGTTTGTCAACGGTTCCTGGGGAACGGCTTGCAGCCATTCCTGGGACATGAACGAGGCCCAAGTCATCTGCAGACAGCTTGGATATGGACCAGCCATTAATGCCCCGGGCTACGCTACCTATGGCCCGGGTGTTGGTCCTATTCACCTTGTACATGTGCACTGCAACGGTTCGGAAAGCTCAATACTTGACTGCACATCTTATTACTCTGAACACTGCTCTCACAGTGAAGATGCCGGTGTTGAATGCTCAGGTACTTCAAACTTGTTCGTCCAATCACCGCCAAACTTGTCATGAAAAATAGTATTTTTTTTCTAACATTTTCCATCCGAAAAGGTGTATCCACGTCTTATTGTCAAGTTGCATTGAAATTAATGACCTCAATATTACTGATCCACATGATTTAATTGGAGATAAGTCCTTTCTCAAACTGGCGATTTTATAGATGCACTGTCCGTTGCTCGTCAACAAAATCAAATTAGTTTTGTCATGCAAAGCTTTTTTTGGCTTGTATTTTAATGAAAACCACTTTGGCTATTTGAAGTTTATGCAACCATCTGAAACAAGAAAGGCTTTTGTTTTGGTTTGGGTTTTTTGTGCGTGCTAAACAAGACCGCCATGCGAGTAGACTGGTTCCTGGTCCGTATATTGTCGATACTGATTGGGGCGACAGCCAGTTTACCGAGCGAGAACTGAATTATAATCGAGTTTTGACTTGCGCTCATGCGCTGTTCATCATTTTGACCCATGTTTGAACTGACAATGTGATATCTCATAGACGCAGTAATGAAACCAAAGTGCATGTACAGGGTTCGTTATGGGGTAGAAAACACAATAGAACAATAGATCCCATAATAAGGACGTCTTTAGAAATCAACCTACTCATACCCGAAACGCTCTGGAGTTTGATATTTCAATAGGAACAAAGGAAAACAAAAGAAAGGAAACAAAGGTCTTCCCCATAAGTATAATGTGTAAGCGGGTTTGCTTATGCATTCAATAGGGGACGTTGAACAGAAGAGGACAATAGTTTCCACAATTCCTGGAAGTCCACAATTGACGATCGTGTTCAAGACATTATGGGAGGTTTTATCATGAGACGCAGTAAAATGAAACCGATGAGTTTGTTTATTGTGTAAATCGAGGACACACACGTGCAACATCATCGGTGAATCGAGGACAGGGACCAAATCGAGGACGACCTCGATTAGAAAACGTGTACAAAACCAAATAGAGCTGTTGCGAAAAAGTTAGTACAAACAAAGGAAAATGGAAGAGGAACAAAAGAAAATCCTCCATTTACACCACGAACAACCGTGGGTGTCTATGTGTGTGTTTTTAATCTTTTACTAAATTGAAGTATTTTACAGTGAGTAACCTAACCCACGAAGCATTTCATGTTCTCTTACTTTAGCTCCAGTTCGTCTCGTGAATGGAAGCTCTTCTAACGAGGGTCAAGTTGAGGTCTTCTACCAAGGCGAGTGGGGTACAGTCTGCGATGATGGATGGGACCTTAATAATGCTGATGTCGTCTGTCGCATGCTTGGTTACCCTTCTGCATCCAACGCTTGGAGCGGCGCTCACTTCGGTCAAGGATCAGGTCCGATCATGCTAGACAATGTTAACTGCCAAGGATATGAATCTAGCATAGCTGAATGCAATCATGCTGGCTGGTTTAGCCATAACTGTGGGCATAATGAGGACGCAGGAGTTACTTGTAACAGTGGTAAGTTTATTTCCAGAAAATATTAAATGAAGTTAAAAATCTGAACAATCAGTTGGCTATTTTCAGGGCGCCCTGTAACGGTGAGGCAGGAAAGTAAAATGACCATGTAAAAATCAAGGTTCTTGACTTTCCAACTAGCTTCTAGCGTGCCGCCGCTATGTTGCCAGATCATGTCTGATTATAGGTTTAATATGGATTTGCAAAGACAAATTATGACAAGTTTGAAGATGAGGTGTCGCTGCTATTTTCCGACTACTTTTTCAGCGAAAGTTTAAGAAGTTGGCTGCAATATAAAGCTTAATTATTGATAACTTCACTTCCAAAACCTCTCTACTACGGCTGCAGATGATGTAAGTGGCGATACTACAAAATAAATTACGAAGGTCAATGTGTTTTTGGACCTACTGAGTGTTACTTTAGACAAGATGAGCACAGGAGATTATTTTCTAAATGAATATTCAAAACAAAAAGAGTTTGTTAAAGATGGCATATGTCACATTTTTGCTTATGAAACATATATCGTACTGTCTTTTTAAACCACACTTTTAAATTCCAGACTCTACCACTGAACCACCCTACTCCGGCTGCAGTTCATATGAGTGGCAATGCTACTACAACGGTCAATGTATTCAAGACTACCAAAGATGCAACGGTTACACTGACTGCTACTATGGCGAAGATGAATCCAACTGTTACGGTAAATATCTACAACAAAACAGTTTTCTAAAGTTGAAACATTCTCCAAGTTTTTTAAATAATTCATCTCGCTGTCTTTTCGTTTTCAGACTATACCACTGAGCCATCCAACTCCGGCTGCAGTTCAAATGAGTGGGCATGCTACTACTACGGTCAATGTATTCAAGACTACCAAAGATGCAACGGATACTCGGACTGCTACTTTGGCGAAGATGAATACAACTGCACCGGTAAATGTGTACAACAAATCAGTTTCTGTGAAATTTCTTACTCAATATGTACAGATACCTTTGTTTTATACTACACTTTAATCCCAGACTACACTACCGAACCGTTCTGCTACGGCTGCAGTTCATACGAGTTGCGATGCTACTACAACGGCCAATGCATTCGAGGCTACCAAAGATGCAACGGATACTCAGACTGTTACCATGGGGAAGATGAATTAACTGTTGTGTTAACTACACATATCTGCAGATATTTTATTGTAATACAAAATAGACTTTACTTAAACAGTTACAACAACTAGACTCGTTGTGTATTTCAAACCATTTCTTCCATTCATCATGTTTTATAGGAAACACCGTTGCTCCCACTGTAGACGTCAATCCACCCTCCTCCGTGTTACGATTAGTGAATGGCAGCACCATCTATGAAGGCAGAGTAGAGGTGTTTGTCAACGGTTCCTGGGGAACGGCTTGCAGCCATTCCTGGGACATGAACGAGGCCCAAGTCATCTGCAGACAGCTTGGATATGGACCAGCCATTAATGCCCCGGGCTACGCTACCTATGGCCCGGGTGTTGGTCCTATTCACCTTGTACATGTGCACTGCAACGGTTCGGAAAGCTCAATACTTGACTGCACATCTTATTACTCTGAACACTGCTCTCACAGTGAAGATGCCGGTGTTGAATGCTCAGGTAATTCAAACTTGTTCGTCCAATCACCGCCAAACTTGTCATGAAAAATAGTATTTTTTTTCTAACATTTTCCATCCGAAAAGGTGTATCCACGTCTTATTGTCAAGTTGCATTGAAATTAATGACCTCAATATTACTGATCCACATGATTTAATTGGAGATAAGTCCTTTCTCAAACTGGCGATTTTATAGATGCACTGTCCGTTGCTCGTCAACAAAATCAAATTAGTTTTGTCATGCAAAGCTTTTTTTTGGCTTGTATTTTAATGAAAACCACTTTGGCTATTTGAAGTTTATGCAACCATCTGAAACAAGAAAGGCTTTTGTTTTGGTTTGGGTTTTTTGTGCGTGCTAAACAAGACCGCCATGCGAGTAGACTGGTTCCTGGTCCGTATATTGTCGATACTGATTGGGGCGACAGCCAGTTTACCGAGCGAGAACTGAATTATAATCGAGTTTTGACTTGCGCTCATGCGCTGTTCATCATTTTGACCCATGTTTGAACTGACAATGTGATATCTCATAGACGCAGTAATGAAACCAAAGTGCATGTACAGGGTTCGTTATGGGGTAGAAAACACAATAGAACAATAGATCCCATAATAAGGACGTCTTTAGAAATCAACCTACTCATACCCGAAACGCTCTGGAGTTTGATATTTCAATAGGAACAAAGGAAAACAAAAGAAAGGAAACAAAGGTCTTCCCCATAAGTATAATGTGTAAGCGGGTTTGCTTATGCATTCAATAGGGGACGTTGAACAGAAGAGGACAATAGTTTCCACAATTCCTGGAAGTCCACAATTGACGATCGTGTTCAAGACATTATGGGAGGTTTTATCATGAGACGCAGTAAAATGAAACCGATGAGTTTGTTTATTGTGTAAATCGAGGACACACACGTGCAACATCATCGGTGAATCGAGGACAGGGACCAAATCGAGGACGACCTCGATTAGAAAACGTGTACAAAACCAAATAGAGCTGTTGCGAAAAAGTTAGTACAAACAAAGGAAAATGGAAGAGGAACAAAAGAAAATCCTCCATTTACACCACGAACAACCGTGGGTGTCTATGTGTGTGTTTTTAATCTTTTACTAAATTGAAGTATTTTACAGTGAGTAACCTAACCCACGAAGCATTTCATGTTCTCTTACTTTAGCTCCAGTTCGTCTCGTGAATGGAAGCTCTTCTAACGAGGGTCAAGTTGAGGTCTTCTACCAAGGCGAGTGGGGTACAGTCTGCGATGATGGATGGGACCTTAATAATGCTGATGTCGTCTGTCGCATGCTTGGTTACCCTTCTGCATCCAACGCTTGGAGCGGCGCTCACTTCGGTCAAGGATCAGGTCCGATCATGCTAGACAATGTTAACTGCCAAGGATATGAATCTAGCATAGCTGAATGCAATCATGCTGGCTGGTTTAGCCATAACTGTGGGCATAATGAGGACGCAGGAGTTACTTGTAACAGTGGTAAGTTTATTTCCAGAAAATATTAAATGAAGTTAAAAATCTGAACAATCAGTTGGCTATTTTCAGGGCGCCCTGTAACGGTGAGGCAGGAAAGTAAAATGACCATGTAAAAATCAAGGTTCTTGACTTTCCAACTAGCTTCTAGCGTGCCGCCGCTATGTTGCCAGATCATGTCTGATTATAGGTTTAATATGGATTTGCAAAGACAAATTATGACAAGTTTGAAGATTGTCGCTGCTATTTTCCGACTACTTTTTCAGAAAGTTTAAGAAGTTGGCTGCAATATAAAGCTTAATTATTGATAACTTCACTTCCAAAACCTCTCTACTACGGCTGCAGATGATGTAAGTGGCGATACTACAAAATAAATTACGAAGGTCAATGTGTTTTTGGACCTACTGAGTGTTACTTTAGACAAGATGAGCACAGGAGATTATTTTCTAAATGAATATTCAAAACAAAAAGAGTTTGTTAAAGATGGCATATGTCACATTTTTGCTTATGAAACATATATCGTACTGTCTTTTTAAACCACACTTTTAAATTCCAGACTCTACCACTGAACCACCCTACTCCGGCTGCAGTTCATATGAGTGGCAATGCTACTACAACGGTCAATGTATTCAAGACTACCAAAGATGCAACGGTTACACTGACTGCTACTATGGCGAAGATGAATCCAACTGTTACGGTAAATATCTACAACAAAACAGTTTTCTAAAGTTGAAACATTCTCCAAGTTTTTTAAATAATTCATCTCGCTGTCTTTTCGTTTTCAGACTATACCACTGAGCCATCCAACTCCGGCTGCAGTTCAAATGAGTGGGCATGCTACTACTACGGTCAATGTATTCAAGACTACCAAAGATGCAACGGATACTCGGACTGCTACTTTGGCGAAGATGAATACAACTGCACCGGTAAATGTGTACAACAAATCAGTTTCTGTGAAATTTCTTACTCAATATGTACAGATACCTTTGTTTTATACTACACTTTAATCCCAGACTACACTACCGAACCGTTCTGCTACGGCTGCAGTTCATACGAGTTGCGATGCTACTACAACGGCCAATGCATTCGAGGCTACCAAAGATGCAACGGATACTCAGACTGTTACCATGGGGAAGATGAATTAACTGTTGTGTTAACTACACATATCTGCAGATATTTTATTGTAATACAAAATAACTTTACTTAAACAGTTACAACAACTAGACTCGTTGTGTATTTCAAACCATTTCTTCCATTCATCATGTTTTATAGGAAACACCGTTGCTCCCACTGTAGACGTCAATCCACCCTCCTCCGTGTTACGATTAGTGAATGGCAGCACCATCTATGAAGGCAGAGTAGAGGTGTTTGTCAACGGTTCCTGGGGAACGGCTTGCAGCCATTCCTGGGACATGAACGAGGCCCAAGTCATCTGCAGACAGCTTGGATATGGACCAGCCATTAATGCCCCGGGCTACGCTACCTATGGCCCGGGTGTTGGTCCTATTCACCTTGTACATGTGCACTGCAACGGTTCGGAAAGCTCAATACTTGACTGCACATCTTATTACTCTGAACACTGCTCTCACAGTGAAGATGCCGGTGTTGAATGCTCAGGTACTTCAAACTTGTTCGTCCAATCACCGCCAAACTTGTCATGAAAAATAGTATTTTTTTTCTAACATTTTCCATCCGAAAAGGTGTATCCACGTCTTATTGTCAAGTTGCATTGAAATTAATGACCTCAATATTACTGATCCACATGATTTAATTGGAGATAAGTCCTTTCTCAAACTGGCGATTTTATAGATGCACTGTCCGTTGCTCGTCAACAAAATCAAATTAGTTTTGTCATGCAAAGCTTTTTTTTGGCTTGTATTTTAATGAAAACCACTTTGGCTATTTGAAGTTTATGCAACCATCTGAAACAAGAAAGGCTTTTGTTTTGGTTTGGGTTTTTTGTGCGTGCTAAACAAGACCGCCATGCGAGTAGACTGATTCCTGGTCCGTATATTGTCGATACTGATTGGGGCGACAGCCAGTTTACCGAGCGAGAACTGAATTATAATCGAGTTTTGACTTGCGCTCATGCGCTGTTCATCATTTTGACCCATGTTTGAACTGACAATGTGATATCTCATAGACGCAGTAATGAAACCAAAGTGCATGTACAGGGTTCGTTATGGGGTAGAAAACACAATAGAACAATAGATCCCATAATAAGGACGTCTTTAGAAATCAACCTACTCATACCCGAAACGCTCTGGAGTTTGATATTTCAATAGGAACAAAGGAAAACAAAAGAAAGGAAACAAAGGTCTTCCCCATAAGTATAATGTGTAAGCGGGTTTGCTTATGCATTCAATAGGGGACGTTGAACAGAAGAGGACAATAGTTTCCACAATTCCTGGAAGTCCACAATTGACGATCGTGTTCAAGACATTATGGGAGGTTTTATCATGAGACGCAGTAAAATGAAACCGATGAGTTTGTTTATTGTGTAAATCGAGGACACACACGTGCAACATCATCGGTGAATCGAGGACAGGGACCAAATCGAGGACGACCTCGATTAGAAAACGTGTACAAAACCAAATAGAGCTGTTGCGAAAAAGTTAGTACAAACAAAGGAAAATGGAAGAGGAACAAAAGAAAATCCTCCATTTACACCACGAACAACCGTGGGTGTCTATGTGTGTGTTTTTAATCTTTTACTAAATTGAAGTATTTTACAGTGAGTAACCTAACCCACGAAGCATTTCATGTTCTCTTACTTTAGCTCCAGTTCGTCTCGTGAATGGAAGCTCTTCTAACGAGGGTCAAGTTGAGGTCTTCTACCAAGGCGAGTGGGGTACAGTCTGCGATGATGGATGGGACCTTAATAATGCTGATGTCGTCTGTCGCATGCTTGGTTACCCTTCTGCATCCAACGCTTGGAGCGGCGCTCACTTCGGTCAAGGATCAGGTCCGATCATGCTAGACAATGTTAACTGCCAAGGATATGAATCTAGCATAGCTGAATGCAATCATGCTGGCTGGTTTAGCCATAACTGTGGGCATAATGAGGACGCAGGAGTTACTTGTAACAGTGGTAAGTTTATTTCCAGAAAATATTAAATGAAGTTAAAAATCTGAACAATCAGTTGGCTATTTTCAGGGCGCCCTGTAACGGTGAGGCAGGAAAGTAAAATGACCATGTAAAAATCAAGGTTCTTGACTTTCCAACTAGCTTCTAGCGTGCCGCCGCTATGTTGCCAGATCATGTCTGATTATAGGTTTAATATGGATTTGCAAAGACAAATTATGACAAGTTTGAAGATGAGGTGTCGCTGCTATTTTCCGACTACTTTTTCAGCGAAAGTTTAAGAAGTTGGCTGCAATATAAAGCTTAATTATTGATAACTTCACTTCCAAAACCTCTCTACTACGGCTGCAGATGATGTAAGTGGCGATACTACAAAATAAATTACGAAGGTCAATGTGTTTTTGGACCTACTGAGTGTTACTTTAGACAAGATGAGCACAGGAGATTATTTTCTAAATGAATATTCAAAACAAAAAGAGTTTGTTAAAGATGGCATATGTCACATTTTTGCTTATGAAACATATATCGTACTGTCTTTTTAAACCACACTTTTAAATTCCAGACTCTACCACTGAACCACCCTACTCCGGCTGCAGTTCATATGAGTGGCAATGCTACTACAACGGTCAATGTATTCAAGACTACCAAAGATGCAACGGTTACACTGACTGCTACTATGGCGAAGATGAATCCAACTGTTACGGTAAATATCTACAACAAAACAGTTTTCTAAAGTTGAAACATTCTCCAAGTTTTTTAAATAATTCATCTCGCTGTCTTTTCGTTTTCAGACTATACCACTGAGCCATCCAACTCCGGCTGCAGTTCAAATGAGTGGGCATGCTACTACTACGGTCAATGTATTCAAGACTACCAAAGATGCAACGGATACTCGGACTGCTACTTTGGCGAAGATGAATACAACTGCACCGGTAAATGTGTACAACAAATCAGTTTCTGTGAAATTTCTTACTCAATATGTACAGATACCTTTGTTTTATACTACACTTTAATCCCAGACTACACTACCGAACCGTTCTGCTACGGCTGCAGTTCATACGAGTTGCGATGCTACTACAACGGCCAATGCATTCGAGGCTACCAAAGATGCAACGGATACTCAGACTGTTACCATGGGGAAGATGAATTAACTGTTGTGTTAACTACACATATCTGCAGATATTTTATTGTAATACAAAATAAGCTTTACTTAAACAGTTACAACAACTAGACTCGTTGTGTATTTCAAACCATTTCTTCCATTCATCATGTTTTATAGGAAACACCGTTGCTCCCACTGTAGACGTCAATCCACCCTCCTCCGTGTTACGATTAGTGAATGGCAGCACCATCTATGAAGGCAGAGTAGAGGTGTTTGTCAACGGTTCCTGGGGAACGGCTTGCAGCCATTCCTGGGACATGAACGAGGCCCAAGTCATCTGCAGACAGCTTGGATATGGACCAGCCATTAATGCCCCGGGCTACGCTACCTATGGCCCGGGTGTTGGTCCTATTCACCTTGTACATGTGCACTGCAACGGTTCGGAAAGCTCAATACTTGACTGCACATCTTATTACTCTGAACACTGCTCTCACAGTGAAGATGCCGGTGTTGAATGCTCAGGTACTTCAAACTTGTTCGTCCAATCACCGCCAAACTTGTCATGAAAAATAGTATTTTTTTTCTAACATTTTCCATCCGAAAAGGTGTATCCACGTCTTATTGTCAAGTTGCATTGAAATTAATGACCTCAATATTACTGATCCACATGATTTAATTGGAGATAAGTCCTTTCTCAAACTGGCGATTTTATAGATGCACTGTCCGTTGCTCGTCAACAAAATCAAATTAGTTTTGTCATGCAAAGCTTTTTTTTGGCTTGTATTTTAATGAAAACCACTTTGGCTATTTGAAGTTTATGCAACCATCTGAAACAAGAAAGGCTTTTGTTTTGGTTTGGGTTTTTTGTGCGTGCTAAACAAGACCGCCATGCGAGTAGACTGATTCCTGGTCCGTATATTGTCGATACTGATTGGGGCGACAGCCAGTTTACCGAGCGAGAACTGAATTATAATCGAGTTTTGACTTGCGCTCATGCGCTGTTCATCATTTTGACCCATGTTTGAACTGACAATGTGATATCTCATAGACGCAGTAATGAAACCAAAGTGCATGTACAGGGTTCGTTATGGGGTAGAAAACACAATAGAACAATAGATCCCATAATAAGGACGTCTTTAGAAATCAACCTACTCATACCCGAAACGCTCTGGAGTTTGATATTTCAATAGGAACAAAGGAAAACAAAAGAAAGGAAACAAAGGTCTTCCCCATAAGTATAATGTGTAAGCGGGTTTGCTTATGCATTCAATAGGGGACGTTGAACAGAAGAGGACAATAGTTTCCACAATTCCTGGAAGTCCACAATTGACGATCGTGTTCAAGACATTATGGGAGGTTTTATCATGAGACGCAGTAAAATGAAACCGATGAGTTTGTTTATTGTGTAAATCGAGGACACACACGTGCAACATCATCGGTGAATCGAGGACAGGGACCAAATCGAGGACGACCTCGATTAGAAAACGTGTACAAAACCAAATAGAGCTGTTGCGAAAAAGTTAGTACAAACAAAGGAAAATGGAAGAGGAACAAAAGAAAATCCTCCATTTACACCACGAACAACCGTGGGTGTCTATGTGTGTGTTTTTAATCTTTTACTAAATTGAAGTATTTTACAGTGAGTAACCTAACCCACGAAGCATTTCATGTTCTCTTACTTTAGCTCCAGTTCGTCTCGTGAATGGAAGCTCTTCTAACGAGGGTCAAGTTGAGGTCTTCTACCAAGGCGAGTGGGGTACAGTCTGCGATGATGGATGGGACCTTAATAATGCTGATGTCGTCTGTCGCATGCTTGGTTACCCTTCTGCATCCAACGCTTGGAGCGGCGCTCACTTCGGTCAAGGATCAGGTCCGATCATGCTAGACAATGTTAACTGCCAAGGATATGAATCTAGCATAGCTGAATGCAATCATGCTGGCTGGTTTAGCCATAACTGTGGGCATAATGAGGACGCAGGAGTTACTTGTAACAGTGGTAAGTTTATTTCCAGAAAATATTAAATGAAGTTAAAAATCTGAACAATCAGTTGGCTATTTTCAGGGCGCCCTGTAACGGTGAGGCAGGAAAGTAAAATGACCATGTAAAAATCAAGGTTCTTGACTTTCCAACTAGCTTCTAGCGTGCCGCCGCTATGTTGCCAGATCATGTCTGATTATAGGTTTAATATGGATTTGCAAAGACAAATTATGACAAGTTTGAAGATGAGGTGTCGCTGCTATTTTCCGACTACTTTTTCAGCGAAAGTTTAAGAAGTTGGCTGCAATATAAAGCTTAATTATTGATAACTTCACTTCCAAAACCTCTCTACTACGGCTGCAGATGATGTAAGTGGCGATACTACAAAATAAATTACGAAGGTCAATGTGTTTTTGGACCTACTGAGTGTTACTTTAGACAAGATGAGCACAGGAGATTATTTTCTAAATGAATATTCAAAACAAAAAGAGTTTGTTAAAGATGGCATATGTCACATTTTTGCTTATGAAACATATATCGTACTGTCTTTTTAAACCACACTTTTAAATTCCAGACTCTACCACTGAACCACCCTACTCCGGCTGCAGTTCATATGAGTGGCAATGCTACTACAACGGTCAATGTATTCAAGACTACCAAAGATGCAACGGTTACACTGACTGCTACTATGGCGAAGATGAATCCAACTGTTACGGTAAATATCTACAACAAAACAGTTTTCTAAAGTTGAAACATTCTCCAAGTTTTTTAAATAATTCATCTCGCTGTCTTTTCGTTTTCAGACTATACCACTGAGCCATCCAACTCCGGCTGCAGTTCAAATGAGTGGGCATGCTACTACTACGGTCAATGTATTCAAGACTACCAAAGATGCAACGGATACTCGGACTGCTACTTTGGCGAAGATGAATACAACTGCACCGGTAAATGTGTACAACAAATCAGTTTCTGTGAAATTTCTTACTCAATATGTACAGATACCTTTGTTTTATACTACACTTTAATCCCAGACTACACTACCGAACCGTTCTGCTACGGCTGCAGTTCATACGAGTTGCGATGCTACTACAACGGCCAATGCATTCGAGGCTACCAAAGATGCAACGGATACTCAGACTGTTACCATGGGGAAGATGAATTAACTGTTGTGTTAACTACACATATCTGCAGATATTTTATTGTAATACAAAATAAGCTTTACTTAAACAGTTACAACAACTAGACTCGTTGTGTATTTCAAACCATTTCTTCCATTCATCATGTTTTATAGGAAACACCGTTGCTCCCACTGTAGACGTCAATCCACCCTCCTCCGTGTTACGATTAGTGAATGGCAGCACCATCTATGAAGGCAGAGTAGAGGTGTTTGTCAACGGTTCCTGGGGAACGGCTTGCAGCCATTCCTGGGACATGAACGAGGCCCAAGTCATCTGCAGACAGCTTGGATATGGACCAGCCATTAATGCCCCGGGCTACGCTACCTATGGCCCGGGTGTTGGTCCTATTCACCTTGTACATGTGCACTGCAACGGTTCGGAAAGCTCAATACTTGACTGCACATCTTATTACTCTGAACACTGCTCTCACAGTGAAGATGCCGGTGTTGAATGCTCAGGTACTTCAAACTTGTTCGTCCAATCACCGCCAAACTTGTCATGAAAAATAGTATTTTTTTTCTAACATTTTCCATCCGAAAAGGTGTATCCACGTCTTATTGTCAAGTTGCATTGAAATTAATGACCTCAATATTACTGATCCACATGATTTAATTGGAGATAAGTCCTTTCTCAAACTGGCGATTTTATAGATGCACTGTCCGTTGCTCGTCAACAAAATCAAATTAGTTTTGTCATGCAAAGCTTTTTTTTGGCTTGTATTTTAATGAAAACCACTTTGGCTATTTGAAGTTTATGCAACCATCTGAAACAAGAAAGGCTTTTGTTTTGGTTTGGGTTTTTTGTGCGTGCTAAACAAGACCGCCATGCGAGTAGACTGATTCCTGGTCCGTATATTGTCGATACTGATTGGGGCGACAGCCAGTTTACCGAGCGAGAACTGAATTATAATCGAGTTTTGACTTGCGCTCATGCGCTGTTCATCATTTTGACCCATGTTTGAACTGACAATGTGATATCTCATAGACGCAGTAATGAAACCAAAGTGCATGTACAGGGTTCGTTATGGGGTAGAAAACACAATAGAACAATAGATCCCATAATAAGGACGTCTTTAGAAATCAACCTACTCATACCCGAAACGCTCTGGAGTTTGATATTTCAATAGGAACAAAGGAAAACAAAAGAAAGGAAACAAAGGTCTTCCCCATAAGTATAATGTGTAAGCGGGTTTGCTTATGCATTCAATAGGGGACGTTGAACAGAAGAGGACAATAGTTTCCACAATTCCTGGAAGTCCACAATTGACGATCGTGTTCAAGACATTATGGGAGGTTTTATCATGAGACGCAGTAAAATGAAACCGATGAGTTTGTTTATTGTGTAAATCGAGGACACACACGTGCAACATCATCGGTGAATCGAGGACAGGGACCAAATCGAGGACGACCTCGATTAGAAAACGTGTACAAAACCAAATAGAGCTGTTGCGAAAAAGTTAGTACAAACAAAGGAAAATGGAAGAGGAACAAAAGAAAATCCTCCATTTACACCACGAACAACCGTGGGTGTCTATGTGTGTGTTTTTAATCTTTTACTAAATTGAAGTATTTTACAGTGAGTAACCTAACCCACGAAGCATTTCATGTTCTCTTACTTTAGCTCCAGTTCGTCTCGTGAATGGAAGCTCTTCTAACGAGGGTCAAGTTGAGGTCTTCTACCAAGGCGAGTGGGGTACAGTCTGCGATGATGGATGGGACCTTAATAATGCTGATGTCGTCTGTCGCATGCTTGGTTACCCTTCTGCATCCAACGCTTGGAGCGGCGCTCACTTCGGTCAAGGATCAGGTCCGATCATGCTAGACAATGTTAACTGCCAAGGATATGAATCTAGCATAGCTGAATGCAATCATGCTGGCTGGTTTAGCCATAACT